TAGGCCTAGTGAGGAGGAGAGTGATGATGAGCAAACTGATCGTAGCCAAAGGCTTACTCAGATATGTACAAATATGTCAAAACTTTACCAAAAGTCAATTTTAAAAAAAAAAAAAAGCCTTTTTCATTTCCTTAGAGAAATTGCTAAACAGAAGATCTGGCCAAAGTCTATGTGGTTAATGTTAATTCAGACCAAGTTGGTAGGCAGGTCTAGTAAGGTGTTTGCAGCATTGTCAGAGGAGGTGTCAAGAGCATATGAAGATGTAAAACAGGCTGTTTTGAGTCCCTGTGAATTGGTACCAGAAGCGCATAGACAACGGTTCAGAAACCTAAAGGAGGAACCAGGTCAGACTTGTGTCGAGTCTGAAGAATTTAAACAGAGCAACTTCAATAAATGGATGAGAGCATTAAAGATAGAAAAGACATATGAGGATCTTAAATAACAAAGTGTGGAGCTGGAGGAACACGGCAGGCCAGGCAGCATCAGGGGAGCAGGACAGCTGAAGTTTTGGGTCGGGACCCTTCTTCAGATATTATTCTGCTGGAGGAGTTTAAAAACTCACTTCCAGAAGTGATGAGAACTCATGTTGAGGAACAGAAAGTTAAAACAGCGAGAAGAGCTGCAGAGATGGCAGATGAATACATTTTAGTACATAAATCGAAATCTAGATTCCTACAGCAATTTCATTCCATGAGGGATAGAAATTGGGATAGAGGAAGATCCTTCAATGAAAAACAAAAAGTAGATCGCACTGGGAGCGGTTTACCAAATGTGAAAAAGAAACCCGAGAGGGTGGAAGAGAGGTGAAAGACCTCGGGTGTTTTCACTGCAATAAGGTGGGACACACAAAGGCACAGTGTTTGTGGCCTAAGAAAGGCATTGGGGAAAAATGATATGGTAGAAGGCTAAAACAGTGGGATTAGCTGAGGTAGTGAAGGAAATCACAATAGAAATCGAGGAGCTGCAGTAGAGTTGACAGCCTAGTCACAGGCTGAAAAGTAAGATAGTGCCTCATCTTTTCAAAGACTTCACCTGTGTCAAAAATGTTTACTCAGGTAGAACAGGGTGAGGAGCTAAAGAAGTTAACACATTTAGAGGTATGGGAGCTGGTCAGTCTCTAATAGCAAGAGATAAAAGTATTTTCACTCCTTCTGAATATCGCAGAAGACTGATAATCTGTGGAATAATTGGAGAGAGAATTAGTGTTCCCCTCTGTAAGATAAGGCTAGAAAGTCCAATCAAGACTGCAGAAGTGAAAGTGGGAGTGATTGAAAGAATGGCTATTCCAGGAATACAGTTTGTTCTTGGAAACGAGATCACTGAATCACACATGCCCATTGTATTGGAGAAGCCAAAAGAAAACCAAGGAACTGAGGAGTTAAAAGAAAAATACCCTGGAATTTTTCCGGACTGTGGTGACAAGATCCCACAGCCATAGTTAAAACAAGAAGGGAAAACAAAAGAAAGGTGGAGTTGAGGTCTGGTTAGCTGATACTCTGAAATGGTAAACGACAAACCTAAGCAGGTCGGGGATCAGGCAGAGGTGTTTAGTTCTGAAAGATTAATGTAGTTACAACAAAAAGATGAGACAATAAAGGATTTATATCATAAAGCCTACTTGGAAAAGGAATCAGAACGTATTCCAGAATGCTATTACCTTAGGATAAAACCATAAGGCGGAAATGAAGACCTTGGCAGGTTAGTATAGATGAGAAATGGGTGGAAGTTCACCAGATTGTGTTGCTGGTAGAATACAGACAGAAAGTATTGCGGGTTGCACATGAATTACCTATAGGAGATCATCTAGGGATGAGGAAGACTCAGGCTAAGATACAGAAGCATTTCTATTGGCCTGATTATGTAAAGATGTGGTTGAATATTTCTGTACCTGTCATACGTGTCAGATGGTAGGAAAGCCACAGGCAGTAGTAAAACCAGCACCTTTGCCAATTCCTGCATTTGAAGAACCTCTCATGTGGGTTATGATTGATTTGTGTAGGCCCCCTCCCTAAAGCCAAAAGTGGGAACCAGTACAGCCGGTTCTGATATTATGCAATAGTTCCGTTCTCGTGCGCATCGACCAGACGTCTCAATCTGACTTAATCCCATTTCCCAGCATTTGGCTCATAATCATCTCAACCCTTTCTATTCAAATATCCATCCAGATGCCGAGTTGCCCATTTAATATAGGGATGAGAACAAATTTCTTGTCTGAAGGTAGTCAATCATTGGAATCCTTTACTGCAGAGAGCTGTCAAGCTGGTTCGTTAAGTACATTAAAGGCTGAAACATTTTTATTCAGTAAAAACAAAAAAAATCCAGTATTCTGGAGAAAAGGGAGGGAAAGTGGAATTGAGGATTAACAGATCAATCATGATCTCCTAGAATGGCGGAGCAGACTCAATGTGACAAATGGCCCTGCTTCTGCTCCTGCATCTTATGATCTCACACCTTGAATGTCAAGGCAAGATTGTTGGATTCTCTTGTGTTGGAGATGGTCATTGCCTGGCACTTATGTAGAATGAATGTAACTTGCTACTTGTCAGCTTTTATTTGGCTTACGACGTTTAAAAGTTTGAGTCAAACATAGTTCTTCGATCCCTTCAACACGTGTTTTACTTTTCACGTTTCCAGCATATGCAATATTTTGCTTTTGTTTTACTATTAAGTGGTGGTCTTCTTTTGGACATAAGTGTAGGTATACTATGAAAATTCATTAGAGCTGAGTTATGGAAGTTGTTTCTTGGAATATTTTGCTGTAACTAGACTCCATCATAGCTAGACTATGTAACTGTTAATACGGTCTGTAGCTATGTTTGACAACAAACATCAAATAACACAATATTGTTTATAGCCTTGGGGTTTGATGTCTCTGTTTTTCATTAACGTTACATTTTGCATTCTACCCTGACTTAAATTCTAATTTGTAATACATCTTGTTTCAGTAGTTGAATCATGGTAAATGTATAGGTGGGCTTTTTTTAACCGTGTTCTGATCAAGAAATTGAGTTTGTTTAAACAAATGCATGTATCCTTCCCTTAAAGCTTAAAGCAATCTTTTTCCATCGTTAAAACTATGTTGTGAACTTCTGACTGGCAAGCAGGCCATCAGGTTTTGTTTCTCAATGTTGTCACCTTTCCTAACGTCATGCCAGAAAATAGTTGATGTACTGGAGGGTTTCCAGGGCCAACAAATAAAGAACATTTGTCCTGATTGAGCCTAGAGATGATTGTCTTCAGTATAATCAGAGTACATTATAATGACCCGGTAGAACTGATTTTAAAAAGACAAAAATCCCCATGTGTAAACTTTGCAGCAGGAGCAATCGGTTATGGGTAGTGAGCACATGATGTCCTTTGCTGTAACTTTATTCCATTTTCTATTCATTGTTCCTAGGCCTAGGAGCAAAGTAACCAATGTTGGCATCTTACCGTCTCTTTCGTTTATATTTGCTGTGTTGGTACAGGCCCAAATTTAAACCTGGGGCATACCTACGGCACTGATTGATTGATTGCAAATTGAGCTGTGAATTGTCTGATTTGTTTTAGTCAGTGGCTATCTCTTTCAACATGATGTCAAGTTCTTAAATCTATTTCTGTTTAAGTTTCAGATTCTCATCAGTTTTTAAAAATAAAAATCCAGTTCAAACTGTCTTTCAAAATGGTTAATGGCATGAGCTGAGTGATCCACAATACAGTTCATTTATTGGGCAGAATTGTCTTCCTTTTGTGTAAGATTTTACAGCTCATCTCTAAAATAGGATCACTTGACAAAAATATTTTTAATTCCTGTACATTCTTCAAATTCTAGTTTGTTTTTACAACAGATAACATAGTAGAAGCAGTCTAATTCTGAAATTTGAGAACCTCGGCACAGTTTGAAAACTGTTTCTGCACATGCTTTATTTCTGTATAGATTGCACAATTGTATTCAAAATTTCATCATGGTCCCCTGTTTAGAGGGAACAATATGAATTGAACAAGTCGGAATACTTTGCGATTGTTAATTGCTTTTGTAAATTTAGTGATTAATTCCATGTCACTTCTGACTTTGTGTGTGTTTGGCAAGTGTCCACTGAGTTGATTGTAATTATATTTGTCAGTTATATCCTTGCTATGTCCCACTGTATGAGATGAGCTTTGACCTTTTATTGAGCAACAAAGTCTGCTTGCACACCAAATACTGTTTCAAAGGCTTATAGCAAAAAAATTTGGACTTAATTTGGTAGCTTCTTGTATGACTGCTGTACTGCAAGAGGACCTGAGGATTGCAAAACATTAATGTTGGACACAAGTATGCAGTGAACTCTGTGGCTACAAGTAAAACATAGTATTTTGCTCCTTTGTGATTGTCAAGTGCATGTAACTGAATCAAAATTACAGAACTATTTGACTTAAGGTCAGGAGGCCTCAAGTGCTCATTAATGTGAGCTTCAAGCAGTTCAACTGCTATGAAATAAAGTTCCAGGTGGTTATGCAGCAGGCAAAAGCACTTCACATTTCACGAAGAACATAAGTTTTATTTTTGCAGGCTGAGAGTATTTTAGAGGTTGGGTTTGTTCTTAACTGAAGTCCTGTGGGGTTACTTCTGGTTATTATTATTTCCTGTGTTAATGAAGGCAGTGTTACATTGCCAAGTTCTCATTTAATGCCTCTCCTGCTACTTCTCAAAAAGAGTAAACATGCAGTCTGTGGTGGGCCCTTGTGGCAACACATTAGGAGCAATTACCTGTTCAAATTGCTAGTACAGGCATATGCAATTTTTTTTAAGGGATCAACTTCCTAGATTTACATATCCCTTATCCTGTAGAAGACAGTAAATCTGAATTGAATATGGAGACTTTTTTAAGAAAGTAAAATTCTTTATGAAATCCTGGTTTCAATATATTCAGATGTACAGAAATGGGTGTAATGAAGTTTTGATGTTGTCATTGTTTTTATCATGAATGGACATCTCAATTGATGCTATCTTTTGTTTTAACTTGATGCTTTCTCTTTAGGAAATGAAGAAGAAACCCGTCAAAGAGCAGCGTTTTCATTCTTCTGCTGTACCCCCTCTTCGGCGGGCGAAATCCCTTGATAGAAGAACAACGGAATCCATTATGACGGTAAAACTGTTGTTGTCTTAGCAATTCAGTTTGTAACTTTTGTGTATCATCCCAATATATTGCACAAATAAACAATTAGAAATATGACTAAAATTTCTACACCAATTCACTGAGTTTGTCCAATTAGCAGTGAGTCGTCCAGATCAAGAAATACCCTTGACTCCAATCATGTACTGTATCCAGTTAACTAGTGTTAGCTTGAATAGTTGTCGACATTCTATATGATTTGGTTTCAGTATCCTTGGATTGAACAATGGAAAAAATATTAAAAAGTCCCATGCTATCCATTGGTAAATGTAAAAAGGAAATGAGTGAGTCTTGCGATAGGTTTTTAAAAGTTCCACAATGTAAACTTAATATTACAGTAATGAATGTTATTGCATTGATGGCAACCTTTCATTTTCAGAACATATTTGTTAAATTTATTGTGAAAAGATGCACTAAATACCATGACTATGAGGAAGATCTAATGATTATGGATGAAATGCATTTCCACAACTCTATATCCAACCTACCAAAGGCAACCAGACCAGGACTGAGGGGAATCTTACTGATCTCTTGGTAGAATGTATGTATCTGCTATTCATGCAGAAAGAAGCCTGGAAAGCAGTTTTGCAACATGATGCACTGCTAATTTGTGTATTCTAGAATTGGATCCAGTTGATTGTAAGCTTGTTGCATGGACATATTTTATCATCACACTTTATAAATATTTTGAGGTAGATAATCTAGATAACTGCTCTTATGATTTGTACTTCTCATTTCACATGCTGCACTCAGTAACAACATTCAAAAGCATGTTGCCAATTTCCACATGCTGATGAAACCCACCTTACCCTCAACACCATATTTCTCACCCTGGCATTGTCCCTAAATTGTCAGGCTGTGTTTGTCCAACATACAGTATTGGATGGGTTGAAAATCCTTCCATTTAAATGTGAGGAAGGCTGAAGCTTTTCTCCCACCACAAACCATTCCTTAGCTACTGACTCCCTAACTATCCTTTGCAGTTGTTTAAAGCTGAACATGACTGTTCATGGCCTTGGTGTTATATTTGACTGAGCTTCCAACTGCATGCTACATAATCACAAAACTGCTGCTTACTACCTCGATAGCATTGCCTAAGTCATCCATCCTGGCACAGCCTGTTTTCTTCTGACAATTTATGCCTTCATAAACTCTGGCTTTGGCTATTCCAATGCATTCTTGGCTGACCTCTATCTTCCAACCCAGCTCATCTTGAGGCTCCGCTGTCTGTGTCCTAACTCTCACCAAGTCTGGTTAGCGCATCATAAGTAACACCATGATTTTAAAATTCTGATATGTTTTCAAATCCTTCTTAGCCTTGAATATCTCTAACCTTTGCAATCATGTCCATCTCAAAAATCGTTAAGTATCTGCGGTCCTCCAATTTTGCTCCCTTGGACGTCTCCAATTTTAATTGCCGAAATGCTGATGGCTATGCCTTCAGCTGCTGAAGCCTAAACATCCTGGAGTTCATGCTTTATCCCTATGCTCCTTTTAAGACTCTCTTTAAAACTTGTCTGCATGCCTAACCTTTATGGTTAATTGCTGTACACCCCCATAGTAACTGTGCTAAATCTCACTTAGGCCTCCTAATGGCAACTTGGGATATTTTACTACTTTTAAAGATGCTGTATAAATAGTGTGTTATTGTTTTATAAGGACCTTTCCCCTCTAAAGTTGTGCTACTTTGATATATTCCTATGATGTGTAGAAAATATTAAATAAATGTCGATCAACCACCTAACAGGGCAACTCCTTTTTTGATTGGGAGCTATTTGCTGAAGAAGGACACTGTCACACAAATTGTCACTCCACCCCTTATTTTATGAAAGAAGGGAGCTATGTACCAAGTAGCACTTCAAAACTGATGTCCTGATTTTTTTGCTTAGATCATTAGGTTATTCCTCATTCAAGAAGCATGATACAACCAAGTTTCCATTCTTAATACAAATGATCATAAAATTGTCTTTCTGTGACTCTAATTATGATTGACTGAATTTATTACAGATGAGAATTTGAGAACCCTGGGCCTTTCAGAATTATTTACTGCAGCATTTGTATTAAATCTAAAACAAAATCTCTGTTACAATGCAGTTTTCTTGCTGCAGAGTTCTTTTCATAGTACTCCAAACTTTTAACTTATCTATTCACCAGAAATGTATACATGTGTATGACAAAGACCAGTATTATAGTAATATGGGTTAGTCTTAGAATAATAACTTCTATTGGTGTGATTGAGTGTGCTTCATCTTCCCGATTGACACACATTATCAGTGCAGAAATTATTGCTGAAATTGAATCTGCTAAATATCTCCTTGTAACCAATACTAGATGTTGAGATTTTGTTGAGTTTTTGCTGCATTAATACTGTAGATTTATCATGTAATTAGGGCTCAAATATTTACAGGTTTAAGCTCAAAACATCAATGCATTTATCATTTTGAGAATGATGATCTGACCTAGTTGTTTACTGAATGTCTACATCACCATTAACTGTTAGTGATTTCTAATATTGAAGGTCCTGTGTTCTAAAAGTTTTGAGCAGAAAGTGACCATTAAAGCCAACAACTTTCTCTTCTCAATAGGTTTGAGGCTTATCTCAATTTATTTGTCAGCAGTCATCATCCATTAATGAGAACTGAGTACTTGACCAAAATGCCTGAATGTTTCATTTCTCTGTAGGAGGCGGCATAACAATGGTTTGATCCTGGGGCAAGAGAATGAGGATAATTGACAGTATAAATTAGGCCGCATAGAAGATTCTCAAGAAGATTGACAGGGGAGACACTGAGAAGTTTATTCCTGAGGAAGCGAAATTTCTTCAGTAGTGAATCTTTAAAATGTTCTACCCCAGTGATCTGAATGTACTTCATTATTAAGTGTATTCAGGGAGAACTGGAATTGATAAACTTTTGATCTCTTTTTGGAAATCAAGGGATATGGAAAGTAGGCAGCAAAGTGGAGTTGAGGTAGAAGTTCAGTCATAACTGTATTAAATGACAGAGCAGGCTCAAGGGATTGAATGATCCATACTTGCTCCCATTTCTTATGTTCTTGTCTTCTCCTCTCTTCCTTTTATTCGCCCTGCACCCAGTCTGCATGGCTCAAAGACTTTACATCCAGACCAGTGGGCGAGGTAAATTCCGTCCTTTTGAATGCGTGTTCTATATGTGCATGTCTGTATATGTGGACAAGATTAATATAAACGGAAAAAGTTGTATTTCTACACAACTAGCATTTTATTTAAGCTTGCATTGAAATTTATCCTCAGGCTTTACTACGTTAAAGGCACTATACCAAAGCAGTTTGTTTCTCTATTGATCAGATCGTTACTTTAAATTCAGTCAGAAACTGAGCTTTTCTGTAACAAAGCGTACTCTTGTGTTTGTGTGAAACTATAAATGAAATAGTCTCAAACTTTCAAATATATCTATAACAATTAAACCTTAGATAACTTGTAAAATAGGCCCAGGTATTCAAGATTTCTTTTGACCCATTACGTTTCAAAGGTTGCATCCTCAGTAATTTTACTTTTAAAAATGTTAATTTTTATTCATTGTTGAAGCTACATTTTTGCACTCCCTGTGCAACGCTGCGCATCCCAATTTCAAAATTAATGCATGAGAAACAGTTTATTAGAAAATTGTGGACATTTAGTGCTTTTGTATTTATCAAAAGGCTGTCAAAACTAAACTGATTTTCAATGCAGCAAAAAAAACTTGATATGATGAGATATTTCAAACATGTGACAAAGATATATACAGGGAAGCAGATTATTTAGCTTAGACAATGATTTGAAGAATATGAATTTAAAATTAATAAATCTCAAGAAGACTAGTGTAATTAGACTGCTTCCCCCAACAGAATGGTGGGATTTGTGACATCAAAAACAGCTAATGTTTCTTAACTCTTTTAAAAATAGACTGAATAAAGATTTGTTCATGAATAAGATTAAAGGGATGTACTGTATTATATAGATTTCCTGTGAAAGTCAATTGTTAGCATTGAATAAAGCATATTTGTAGTGTTAAATAATCGCCTCGGGGTTTATGAGGTTTTTTTAGAGAGAGTGGAGGGAAGATCATATGCAAGTTTCATGTGTGTTTCTCTTGGCATGAAAGATGCATTTTTTTGCAGTATCTCATTATATCCTTAATTTGATGAGGTACTCTGTAAACAGTTAATTGTTGTTTTGAAGTGCAATTAGTTATGTAGGTAAAGATGACAACCAGTTTGCACATAGCAAGCTCTTAAATAGTAGCTGGAAGAAATATTTTACAGGACACTGAGCTCCCTGTTCTTTTTCTTGCTTTGGAAACTTTGTTTATCTGTACAGGTAGACAAAGACTTGAATTCAAAGCATCACCTTAAATAATGTACTATAATCGTTATGTAGCTAAATGTAAATTATGCACTGAATTCTTGGAGTGCCTTTTGAATGCTGAAGTTTGATTCCGAAGTAGGAATGCTGTGAACTAAGCCATGCTGACATTTTCTAAATTGAAATTGATCAAATGTGGTCATTAAGCAAGTTATTTGTTATACATGTAGAATGAATTAATTAAGATGATTGGCATTGACTTTGCTGATGCTCCCCCTTGCTTTTTAGCCGGATCTCCTGAATTTTAAGAAAGGATGGATGGTAAAGCTTGATGAAATGGGTCAGGTAAGAATAATTGTACATTTTCTCTCAATATAACATATCATTCAACATTGAAAGTTTACTCTAAGATGAGCCGGTTTCAAATCTTGAAGTGTCAAATGAATGGACTTGTGTAAAAATGCCCCAGAACTTCCCTGTACAATATAAAATGCTATCTGTCCAAAATTTGAAGCTACACCCAGGCCTATTAATTGGGAATTTGTTTTGGAATGTTAATTAACTTGCAGTTTGGGCTTTTCCTTTAATCCTTGTTTCTATAAGCACATTGCATTCCTTATAATTAATGTATAGGTAAAACAGCTCTTCCAGATGCAAGTGATTTACAGATGAAAAATCTTAAGGAAAATGCCAAGTTGTACAATAGCTGATTAGATTATCTACAGCTCACTTGACTTCGAAAATCATGCCATGGCTCTTTCCAGTTTTAGAAGCTGTAGTTAAGACAGTTCAGCTCCATCTACCACTCCCCAACGATTAAGTTGCCCTTGTTAATGTTCAGCAGGACATGGACTATTATCAGAGTTTGAGCTGACAAATAGCAGATAATATGACCCAAATGTGGAGCTGCTGTAAAAGTTTTAGAGGCTGGTAGCAGAGTGCAAAAGGATCTGGTATCGTGACACACTGGTGTAGCATGCTGGAAATTGAGCTCCATTCTTCCTCGGTTGTCACAAAAGTTAAAGATCGTAAGGTATGCAAAGTTACCCAATTTACCTGCCTTTTAGTACCAGATAGAAAGAAAGTGTGGACCTGGTTTCTACGCAAGAATCACTCCTCATTGCAAGTGATTAGACTCTAGCTACAGGTAGACAGTTATAAACCATTGGTATGTGTGCTGAAGCTTGACTCCAAAGTAGGAATGCTATGAACTTAGCTGTTAGTACAACATAAAACTCCAGTCCCATTATAAACTCCCCGTACAGGCAAATAGGTTATGGACAGAAGGGAAAGACTGGAAAGTTCAGGGGTCTTTGTTCCCAGGTACTGTTATTGGGATTATCCTTATCTCTTCTGCTCACCAGCTTCAGTCATCTTTCTCTGCTTTCTTTCTTTGGTTAGTAAGACACTCAAGGTGGCTGATTTAACTTTTATAAAAATCTGACCTGTCAGTTAAAATCTACCACATACTGTTGCAGGAAAGAGGAACTTTTTTGGGTTTGCGGTGAGTTTTGACTGTAGAGAACAGGGAGACTATTCCTGAGCTGGGGATGAGCTAGATGCTTCTCTCCATCTGACTTGTTCCCAGCTTCAAGCTGTTCATTTACATGAGAACCAGTCACAGTGTTGGCAGACAAAAAGGTCTCTGTCACTGTCACTGGTAAGTGTCTTTCATCCATAGACTGACCAACTTATTGTTACCACCAAGAACTGAGTTAATACACCTACTCGGCTCTAAATCATCTGCAGTTACTGTTTGTTCAAACAGTTGATTATACGGTGTCTAGCACAGGTGGAACACTACTTGTTCTTCAAAATCGCAGCCACACTTTCAAAGTTGAGTTTATAAAAAGCACTTTCTCATTTCAGTATTCAGTTTGTGAAAACAAAACAAAAAGAGACAGTCCTGGTGAAATGGACAGGTTGTAGATGAAAATTATTACAGTGTTAAGTGTAATTATACACTTGGAAGGCAGAATAAAGAGATGTAGTATAAATGAATTAGCATGATTTTAAAGAAGTGTGAGGAAGAGACTTGAGGATACCAGTTTGATTTGATTTATTGTCGCACGTACCTAAGTACAATGAAAAGCAGTACTGGCAGATCATAACATACAAGGACATACAGATCATAGGGTAACGAGACAGCAAGGCATACATATGGCTGCAAAGGAAGCACACAAAAGCAAGATCAACATTAGATTTGAAATTAGAGAGGTCCATTCAACAGTCTAATAACAGTGGAGAAGAAGCTGTTCTTGAACCTGTTGATACATGTGTTGAAGCTTCTGTATCTTTGGCCTGATAGAAGAGGTTGGAGGAGAGTATAACCAGGGTAGGAGGAGTCTTTGTTGGCTGCCTTTCTTTGCACCATGATGTCAAACATTTGTGTCTCCTTTCTGTATTCTGACTTGTCATTGTTTGATATCCATCCAACAACAGTGCTATCATCAGTGATGATTTATGAATGGCTAAAGAAATCTGGAAGTGGAGGAATGAGAAATTTTTTTATGCCGTAAGTTATGATCTGAATGTATTGGCTCAAAAAGTGCTGAAAGCAGATACCATTCTCTTAAAATGGTAAAATTTACAGGACAGTGTTAAAATCAATGTAGAAGGAACTTGTGCTGATGTAATTGTGCACAAGACTTGAAAATCTTAAGTGTCCAGACCAAAATCAGTTTGAATAATTGGTATATCTGCCACTGCACTCAATGTCCACCTTCCATTAATATAATGTACTTCAGCTACAGGATGTTCTGCCCCAAATTGTCTACCATGCTTTGACAGCTACTCCAAACCGAGTGAATCAGGACTATTAATGTAATGCTGACATTATATCACCTCTAAATTATCCTTCATGTCACATATATTCTGGCTTGCTAGTATACCACCATCGTGACTGGGTGAGTAACCTGCTGTCAGAGTAGCCCACAAATCAACAACCACCCAACGACAGCTACTGACAAACGTAAAGGATCCCGTACCCAAAACCGGTAAAACTGGGGTAATATACAAAATACCATGTAAGGACTGAGAAACACTACATAGGCCAGACCGGAAGAAAATTGACTATACGGATACATGTACACCAGTTAGCCACTAAGAGACATGACCAATTCTCGCATGTCTCACTACACATGGATGAGGGACACAAATTCGACTGGGACAACACAACGATAATCGCACAAGCCAAACTGACACATGCCAGGGAATTCCAACCAGAACTCTATCAACAAACACATTGAATTAGACCCTGTGTACAAACTTCTGAGAAACAACTGGAAGTAATACCAACCTCCCCAGCAAACCAAGGCATACAAGTAACAAGCGGGACAGAATACCAACGCTTCACCGGAGGCACACTGACAATGTTACCTAGCAGGGTGACCCAACGCTTGCAACCAAACCCACCAGCTCGGCAAACACGTCCATAACCTCATCCACAACCCAAGCTTCAAATCTTCTCGGAAATATATTTTCAGTTGAAAGCATGCCTTTTGAAGCAGTCTGGTAACAGAAACAATCCTCAGACAAAAACAAAAGTTACTGGAAAATCTTAGCAGGTCTGGCAACTGAGGAAGGGTCACTGAACCTGAAATATTAACTCTGATTTCTCTTCATGGATGCTGCCAGACCTGCTGATCTTTTCCAGCAACTTCTGTTTTTGTCTCAAATTTACAGCAGAATCTGAATTTCTGAAGAAGGGTCCCAACCCGAAACGTCAGCTTTCCTGCTCCTCTGATGCTGCCTGGCCTGCTGTGTTCCTCCAGCTCCACACTGTGTACTTGAAGTACATTCGCTTGCCACTGTCAACTTGGAGTTGGGGTAAGCATTTCTGACATCATGCCTTTATTTGGGAAGATTGACTCGTTTGATCCTGCTGTTGAAGACTGGGCCCAGTATGTGGAAAGTGATATTTTTCCTAGGCAACTGACATTGGGGCAGATGAAAAGCAAAGAGTAATCCTTCAGACTGCTTGCAGACCAACAGCATTTTCAGTTATAAGGGGTTTAACTTTCCAAGAGGCAGCAAACACTTAAAAACCTTTCAAGAGTTGACAGTTGGCCAAAGAATATTACAAGTCTAATTCAGAGACGTTATCAGTTTTATCCAGCTGTTAGAAAGCCAGGGGAATCCGTATTTGGATTTCTGACGAGTTTGAGATGACTGGCAGAGCCATGTGATTTTGGGTTAACCCTGAATGAGATGTTGAGATCCCGTTTTGGTACATAGGAATTGTTATAAAGTAGAAGATAACCAATCCCCCTGCCCGAACTGAAACCGAAACACCCAAAAAGGAGCACCTTGCCCTATAATTTGTAAAAGGAGTGTGAATAGTGGTGTAACCTGCCTTTTAGCAATTTCTAGTGGTTAAATAAAATAAACCCCTGACCCTTACTTTATAAACAACAATTTATTTATCTAACTCTCTAACTTTGAACAAATTACGTAAACTGTTAGCAAACTGAATAAATCCCTTCTAACTACTAATTACTCCCGGATAAACCAAATTTCCAATAGTGTGTTGTTCCGCTAAGTACAGTCCCACTTATATAAAACAAAATAAAACAAAAGTAGAATTTAGTCTCTCAAATACAGCCAGGTTATGTGTCTTCCAGAATGTTCTGTGTCTTGTCCATCAATTCTTCTTGACAGGGATATTCACTAGTTGTGCTTGTGGGTACCTTTGTTCTTCAGATGGTGCTTTTGCAAAGACTTAGAGGAGTCTGTGAGACAGCGATTCTCCCTTGAGAACTGATGGCTGTTAACGCTGGCGGATGGCAGTTAGCTCTCCTGTCTTTGCCCAACAGCCACTTCTTTTATATCCTTGATGACACGTCAGTTTCTTACAATAAGATTGATCCTATGTCATCAAAATCATCAAATTTAAATTTAATTGGTTTTTGGTTTCTTGGTGTCTGGTTCACATTGGCTAAATTCAAAAGTTTGTCTTAATAAAAACTGCTGCTTGGCCTGATAACTGTATGGTCTTCGGATACAAATGTTTCAATTCGGGTGCTCTCTGTGTACTTGCAAACTTTCAAGTTGCTGCTCACAGGCATCCGTTTTAAATCTCTAAGCATTGAAAAAGCACATGATCTTTTAAAGGGATCACGCAATACTTTCCCCTCCTAGCATTTTACAAACACCAAATTCTAACTTCCTGCCTCCAAATCCACAAGCACCTCTGTCCAACTTTGCAACAGGTTAACGACGTGACCATGCAGAAGCACTTAGTAGCAAAACTGGACATCAAACAGGTGCTACAACTGGCTTTGACAATAGAAAATGTGGCAAGTCAAGCATGTGAGCTACAAGGCATCCCAATGGAAGTGGACTCC